ACCAGCAATGAAGTGATGTCTTGTGGGAAATTGTGACGAGTGATGAAAAGTGGGTATTTCGTTATGGGAATCCTAAACGTCAAATAATGTCGTGGGTAGGTCTTCGGCAGCCCAGTACATCGACGTCGAAACAGAACATCCACTTGAAGACGGTTTCCTGTGTATCTGTTGGCGGGACATGAAGGGTGTACGTTACTGCGAAATCCTGGGAGGTGGTCGTCAGACGGTGACTGTGGAACACTACAGCCGACAACTAAACAACATGGGAGAATGACTTGATGGGAATGCGACATTGGAAGCAGACGCTGCAAAAGCTTGCAGCTCAGTTAGGCGTCACTCAAACACCGATTTCCAAGCATTTGCACCACCAAATTGGAAACATTCAACAACTTGGAAGTCGGGTCTCTCCACATGTGTTGAGCGTACGAACGCACATGCCTGTCACTGTCTGTCCACCACCAACAAGCAGTGAATGGACTTCTTGTGGAAAATTGTGACGGGTAATTAAAAGTACACATTTTGTTACGAGAATCCCAAACGTAAAGTGGTGTCGTGGGTAGATGCCTGGCAGCATCCCCGTACATCGACGTTAACTTGAAGACGATTCTCCCATGTATCAGGTGGGGAGGGGGACATGAAGAGTGTACTTTATTGCAAACTCCTGGAAACTGGTCGTCAGACGGTGACTGCGGAACTGAGGGCCGGCAGTTGAACAAACTACACGCGGCATATTCACCAGACTTGGCCTCACTGCCGACTAACATTTGTTGAGGTCAATCCAATTTTTATAGCAGATAAATTTCAAGTCTGAAAATTTTGCACACATTAAGCCATACGCCGAATATTTTCACACTAGCGGTAAAAAGCGAGGCAGGCGCTTAAGTAAACGGCCAACGAAAAAAAAAGAGGCAGAGGCAGACAGAAAAGAAAGACAAAACAGCTGAAATAACACAAAAAACACATGGGTAGCAGAAAAAAAGTGCGATCATAAATCCACAGAACGAAGCTGACAGAATTAATGGATCAGTAGAGTGACAAATGGACTGTGCCTGAAATACATTATTGTTTGCCAGTTCGTGTGAATTTGGCAACACCTGGGTAAGGCCAATTGCCGCACTACCGCACTGTCCACGAGGCCGCAAGGTGGGATTTGAGATTTCAGGTGAGAGACCGGCACGAAGCCGTGTTCCAGTCTTGGAGAGCAGGTCAAGTGTGGTGTGGAAAGGTCTCTAACTCAGCGCCTGGGAGTTGAAAGCGCAGTGCAGGTGCCATAAAAACACACACACAGAGAGAGAGACGTGCGACACGAATCAGGCCTTCTTGTGACGGGAGGATGCCGTTTCACGGGTCGGGAACAAGACTGACGCGGACTCGCAAGCCCACTGACGTCTTCTCCTTCCTCCCTCACCCCCAATCGATCGAGTTGAGGGCACGTGTGGCGTTGGCGAACTCGCGGAATGCAGAGGACCACAGGAATGACACGTGCACACTCAGCTGCTTTGCTCATTAAAAGGGCATTAAACGTGGGAAAAAGGCACCAGGTGAGGTCTTCTGCAACTGCCAAAGTGCCTGACGCGCTGCTTGGCATGGATTTGGTTGATTTTTACAGCCTGCAAATTCGGTAACTGTATCCACATGATCGCCTCCTGTGGGAGGAGGATTGGTTATGCTGACGGAAAAAAAGTCAACGGCATTTGCATTGACAGATGACATTGAAATGACAGAAGGCTTGGCGGAGTTCCTCAGACCCTGACGCGTTGACCAACTCTTCACACCTCTAGAATGCAAATCGGCACCACCTGCTGGCAGGTATTCTGGATCTTCTATATTCCTTCCGAGAGCATCGACGATAGTACTGAAGATGGGAGGTATGTGGATCATTTTTTTTAGTACAACAGATGATTAGTCGAAATTTCTGATTCGGAAGCCTGGTCACCAGCAGAGGGCTAGCGAAGCAAGACTGAACGATCACGTTGGTGCAAAATCACTAGTGTTCCATGCATAGACGTCCTGCTTGCTCGCGCACCTTGACCTGATGGCTACTTCAATAAACCGAGTTAGATGTGTTCTTTTTTAACTTCTAACAGACGATCTGCAAGTCCAAACACTGCTGTTCAGTCAGCGAGTTCCCTGGTAAAGTAGGCGCGTCGAAATCGTCAACAATTATTGCAGTTAGGGGCATGGTATTTTGCCAACTTGACGTCAAACATGCGATCAACAGAGAGCAGGTGTCATGACAACAAATTGCCTACCTACCCCAACGCGAAGGACACGTCTATTAGATCAGGGGTTTGGGGTAAAAGTCTGCGGCACAATCTTGCTGGATGGAGATGCTTACGCAGAACAAAAAAAGTGCGGACTAACGAGGCAATAGACAAGGTGACACAGACTGGGACGTGTCAATTGTCGGGTGTTTGTCAGGTGCTGGATTATGGAATTTCAAGATCGCCTCACACGAACAAGCAGAAATTAAACTATCGCTCTGGATTCTTAATCCACATCTGCCACCGGGATCCTAGGAATTGGCCACTGGCGATGGGAGCTTTTTTAGGACCACACGCACCCAGAATCTCCTGGTGCTTACCTCGGGCGGCGTGTAGACTTCAAGTACGTAGCCAGCCGATGTTCGCATGAGGAGGACCCTCGAACGAGCCCACTGGGGGTTGTCCTGGAGCACCAGCAGGCCGGGAACAGAGAAGGCGGAGGAGGTTGAGGAAGCGGAGGGTGGTGGTGCGGCAGTCGGCGGGGTGTTCACCCCCCCACCGCCACCGCCCCCGACGCCACCGGGTCCCAACCACTCGGTCAGCACACCTTCGAGGACGCATTCACCCAGGAGGAGGATGTTGGCTCCGGGCTGGCGACACTGCCTGCTCGCTTTGGACTGGTGATATGCAATGATGCTGTGTATAGAAGAGAGGAAATTAGCGAGGACAATGTGGTGGTAGTGGTGTCGACGTAGACGTGGATCTCCCCTCTAGTCTGACTACTTGCGCTGAACTAACATGATTCCACGCTGAACACGGCAGTCTTTCGTGAACTCGAATCGAACTACAAGTCGCCTGTTCTGTTTTTACAACGACGACGCCTAAACGGATCTGCTGAACTCGACGCACGCTCGCACGCTCGGCAGATCCTTTGTACACGTAATTGGAAGAAATTACGTCTACCGAGGCAGCAGTCTCGAACTCGCGTCCGTGGAGTGGCTTGGCACCCCTATCTAGACGTGCTTCAGGTAGCGTTGACGTTTTCAACTGGATGAGCCAGTCACACTACACCCCGGGGCATTTAACAGTCTGCTAGCACCACCTCCTCCAAGGGACAAATTAGGGCACAGGTGCGACGGCCCTGGAGTGAGCGTGAGTACAGCATAAATTCAATGAGTACTCATCCCGTGCGGACGTGCTACCTAACGCCGGACAATCAATGGGGAGGGTGTTTTGTCATCCGCTGGCGAGTGACTGGTCTTGCCACCACACTGTGATGTACGACTGTGATGCTCCACACGGTGACTTGAGCCGTGTCTGCTTCGAGTTGGCAGGGCGCAAATCGGTCACTGGTCCTGGCATGAGCTAATTTCCCCACAGCCACACCGTTAGGGCTAATTAACGCCCCCAATAAGACTGCCTATGGTACTAACTTGGCTTGTAAATTGTAAGTCACGACGGGGACAGGGTACAGAACTCCTTTAAAATCTTGTAGGGGTAGTGGAGCCGACCTGGGACGGCGATGCAGAAACGCTCACCTCATGACATCGTCCTGAGGAATGGGTTTGACGCTGGCGGAGGTGGCGGTGGCGATGCTGGGGGAGGTTCGGCGTCTCCACAGGAGGACAAATGACCTGCGTAGCCATGACCCGGGTCGCCAGCGACTCTCTGCCTTGTGATGGTGGTGAGTCGTGGCAGTCGTGGTTGTGGCAGCGGTGCAAGGGAGAGGTGCGGTAGCACAGGACGCCTTCGTAGCGGAGCGCTGAGCAGCAGCCGCGGCAAGCGCAGCTGCCACAACGGTGCTGGCGTTGACGTAGGAGGCCTGGTGATGATGTCCGCCACCACCACCGCCGCCACCGCTAAGGCCGGACTCGCCGATCAGTGATAGGGAGGAGGAGGCGGCCAGGGAGGATTCCTTCTCCGTAGTCCCGGCCTCCGACTCGAGTTGCTCCGCTTCACCCGCCTCGTCGGCTTTGGAGGGCTGCTTCTGATGCAGCGAATCTGCGCAAACGATTGTAAGCTGTTAGTCTGCATCACTCGACATTGGCGGACACTATTTGTGGGAATTCTACCCATCAAACGTCCCCGGCGCGTTTGAGACGTGAAGGTTCCCTCAAGACGTAGGCCAGTAACAGAACAGGACCTACGCCACTAGACCAGCTCGTAGGACACCGGTTAAGCGGGTTAAATCAACTGAATAAATTTGAATGAGTACGGTTACTATTTTAGTAGACAACCAACCACTATAGGACACCCAACGCAGGTCCCTAGTGACTCAATTGGCCGACAAGATTCAAACTTACTTCCTCCTCAAAATCATGCGCCTTCTTGGACTAAACCCATCGCCAAAAATGTCGACTCGTGTCTTTAAACGAGCGAATCTCTCGACGGTGCGAATTTGGACGTGAGCATGCCTTGCAGCCGCTCGACCGGATTAAACTGACTTGACAATCGATCTGGGCATTCAGTTTTTACCTACCAATAGGCAATATTTGGGTAAAAGCCTCTTGTTACACCTCCCACAAGAACCGCATGTGACGAAATTGCACAGGGTAAGGGTGGGTATTTGTTGAAAAAAGGTGTGTGTGTGTGCGCAGAACGAGGTGCGCACGAAGGGCAGGTCCTGGTCGACCACCCAAGTGTTTTGGCTACTACCTAGCGGCAAAGTGCCACCTTCCAAGTCGTGCAGGGGATAGCATCGGGCGTGAGCAATTCTCCAAGTGCGAATATGACGCGGTGACTCAGGCCGTACGATGAGTAATTGGGCATAGGGACAAGGAGGCGAATGCAGACGGACCGTTGAGGTGCTAACGGGATTAACTACGACGATAAGAAACGCGAATAGATTGCAGCAGTTTCAAAATGAATTTGCAAACACACACACACACGCCTTAATCACTCAGCAACAAAAGGGAACTACTATTTCGGCCAATGGGGTTAGCAGAAGAGAATGGGATCAACTCAAACCATGGTTCCTGCAAGAATGTCGTCCAGTAACTTCGCAGCCTCGTTAGCCAATCCCGGATACAAGTGCGAACGTCCGTTCAAATGTCGGTGAGACAAGCAAGGCGTTATCCCGAGTGTGTATGAAGGAGACATACATGCTGGAGATTAGAACTGAGCAAAGGTTAACGAGTTAACGGCGATTTTCTTTCGTCCCTCCGACATTAGAACTCGTTGTTAACCCGCGAAGCCATCAAATTAGCGGAAGGTTCTCGCGCAGGGTCTGGCGTGAGCAGCTGCCATGTTTAGTAGCGACGCGGAATGACTCACGTGCCCGGGGAAGCAGGTAAACAGTAAAGATGATCGCACTGGTTAGGTGAAAACAAAGCCTCGGTTTCAGCGCAGCAGTAATGCCCGACGCACGGCGCATCCGGATTGGGTGCGTTGTGCGTCGGAAGAAGCTGATGACGGAGGAGTTTGCAAGTACCCACTAACCGGATCATCAATGACACCCCCATGGAAAACCAAATGAAAAGCAGCCTGTCTGGTTGTGTGAATTAACGAAAAAGTGTAGTAACGCACCGAGGGGGAGGCCTCACATTCCCGTAAAAACAACGAAATCATGAAACGCGGAGGACTGAGCGACCCCCTAACGCTGGTCCAATTGGCCAAATGCATCACCGGAAATCGAAGTAGGAATCACAAATTAGCCCGCCAAAATCTTAAGCGTCGTGAGAACATTGAGGAGCACTCAGGAGGTGGTAGTCTTGAGCACTTTACAGCACAGGAGTGAAGTTGAGCAGCGCAGAGCTTGGTTGTGTATTGTTAGTAACGGCGACAACTTATAAAAAAGTGACTCACTCACGACCACTGCTACCACCGGGATGGTAGAGCATGCCCAGGTAATTAAGCGTAGCCCAGACTGTGTACCAGTTTTTGGGAGCGTTAAGTCGTGCAACACTGTTAACACGTGGCATCGACACCCTACGCATTCGAGTATTATAATGTACATTAGGCACTGAAAACGTGCCCGCAAGTGAGTCAGCAAGTCTGTCTACAGGAAAAAGATAAAAAGCAACAAAGATGAGGGAGGAGAAAAGGGAACTCTCGTGGGAGTTTTATCTGAAGTCCTACCGATATGGTGGCTAATATCCTAATCATCATCCATGGCTACAGTTTGTTACAGTGCAAAAGTCGTCCTTCAAAATGGTTACTGGTTGTATGGGCACTGACACAGAAGACTTAACATGCACTCGCTTGACTGTTACAATATACGAATTCTGGAATAACTTTACGAGTTTGCGAAGGAAGCAAAGTATACGCGTAAACACGAAATAAAATATTACGAAAACTCGGTAACTAAGTTTGCAACGGATTAACTATACTCTAACACAGATTAGATAACGAAAAAAGTGACAAGTCAACTTAAGCGAATCACAGAGTTATCTCGTTACGAGGATGCCTTTCAAAAACTAGTGACTTAAAATGCAAAAAAATTGTGATGAGAGATGAAAATGAGAACACAAATGTGAGACGAGAGATAGTAGCAGCTGTGATTGTGATATGGAAACAATTAATTGTATGTTTTGACAAATTATGATACAAGGTAAATCGAATTAAGGACAACAAGTACTCATATAAAAATACAGTCACCACAAAGTGCTATCACAAAATGGAAGATTTGGAGAAATGTAACATGAGTATGAATCGTGATAATGAAAACCAAAACTTTCAAAAATAACTGAAAGCGATATACTAACTTTACATCCGATTAGGGAATCGTTAACGATAAGACGCTGACAAATCATTGTCAGAGCACTTAATGAATATTTAAATCAATTTATAAACTGATAACGGAGTGATGGACCCGCTTTGTGAAATAAAAAATCCTGGCAATGTTCATGTGTAAAAAATGCTTGGTTAGTAATTACCAAAAAGTTTCCCTATGGTAGCTAAAATAACGAATATAAATTACGATTCAAAGAATCTTGGACATACGGAAAGAATAAGAAGTGAGTAATCTACCAGAGCAGGGCCAGATTATTTAAATGTGCGATTCAATAATCTTCACGTGGTAGTCAATTAAAATTAAGAGAGCTATGCTGATGAAAAATGGCGAAATGGAACAACTAACAATTAGAAAACAAGTAATTGTTAGGTAAAAAGCATTAGTGTACTCACCTCCGCCCTTGCATTTTAGCAGGCTAAATTTGGTAGTTTCTTCCTTCGGGACGAAATATCTTTGAGACAGGGATAGCTCAAACTTCTTGCGAATTCCTAAACAGATGCTGTCTAGGAATTCTCGTCCACATCCCGGCTGATCATCCTGCCGATTATCATTGAGGTGGGCCTTAAAAAGCTGGAGGGCTTCTATCGCCAGGCGGTTGCTTGTGTTTTGGCAAAATCGATTCCAACTTTCGTGGCGCATTGTCATCAGATCTACATTTGATCTCAGGTCTCTACCAAATGAACGGGCTACCAAGCGACATTTCAGAAAAGTCGGAAAAACTAACCAATGGCATTTCAACTGTGATGCAAACCAATAATTTCGCAATTTGATTTTGCTGAAATTCTTTTACAACCAATATTTCTGATTCAATTTTACCAAAGCGACAACTTGGGATTAGGCTATTACAAACTGAGAACAAAGCAATTTAATTTTTATTAAAAATTAAATAGTGAGATATTAAATTGGAATTTGACAAGCATCAACTGGTCGAATCAGTTGTCATGCCTTCAGAATTTTCAAGAAAACTATGTGGTTGAGGTGGTTATATAGTTACTTCCAAGTCGATGACTTCAATGATTAGCTTAATAGAACAGAATTGACGGCAAGATGACTTTTAGGATTTATGGACAACGGGAGTTAAAATGTAATGAGTAATGACAGGAACGTTAAACATTCGGGTCACATGAAGGGGCTCGCATGATTCCCTATGTCTCATCTGAAAATGTAAGTTTTCTTTTAAATTTTTAATTAAGCCGAAATTCCTATTCTGCCAGTTCTTGCAAGAGAAAATCCATTTCACTACGAATTCGATATTTAAAAAGAGGATAGAATAAGTGCAAGGCTTTCTTTTTTTGGCATCGTATTATAATAATAAGCAATCTATGGAAAATAATCAGTTTACGTTCCTGATGATCTATTCAGATCACTAAAATCTACGTGAAGTGAAAACTGGAAACTTAGTGCAGTAGATTTGTCGATTTAATTGTAGTTAGCTTTCAGTGACACTATGTTCAACAATGCGTCCTACCCTATTGCTTTAGTATTTCTGTGTTCCAATTGAAAAAGATTAATTCAAATGCTAAGAATTTTCTAAAACAAATGGATACAACAGAACCTAAATATCACAAATCGTAGATTCCATTTAGTCTGCCTGTTGTAGAAAGGTAGATCTGTAAGTCATGCAGAGAAAATACTCTGTTTTAGGATATAGATTGAGATGCGATTGAATTTAAGAGAACCAATAGTTGCAATTTGAGAAAATGAATTGTCTGGGTTTAATCTTTATACATGTGTGGATTGGAAACTTTTTTGTAGCAAAAAAGTCGCCTACGTTTTGATTTTGGATGACTGCGAAAAAATATAATTTAGGTGTTAGCTCATTTTTTATAAACCAAGTTGTTACTTCTTTACCTAAATGGAACAAAGGACATATAAGATTATCTGTAAAATGTTCAAACACAAAAGTGTAGGATATGACTGCAGTGATTTGAGTACAGCGAATTTTACCGAGTCAAATTTTAGACTACCTCAAATTTTGCAATAAATGATTACCCTGTGTAGTACAATTTAGATTACCTACAAAATCATTATTTATTTATTTTACTAGAGCAGTGTAAATTTTATACCCATAATCAGACGTCATTTCTCTCGCATAATTTTTTCAAGGCTATCCTTATTTTAGTTTACCACAAATTCTCATCCCAGGCACTCCCGCCTTTTCAATAGTTTGCCCAGCCGGATTCATTCCCTTTCTTCTTGAATGTTATAGAAGCACTAAATGACTAGTCAGTCAAATTGGATTCCATTTGCAAGAGCATCAGCGCTTGGATGGGTACCCTTGACTTCAACACCACTGCCGCATCTGAAGTTGGATCAGGATGTGCCTTCGGGCAATGACTTGATTCGCCTAAATATCAGTGGCGTTAGATTTGATGTCTACAGAAGCACTCTTGAAAAGTTTCCTCACACTCTTTTAGGATCAAGCGAAAAAGATTATTTCTATAATGAAGAAACACAGGAATATTTTTTTGATAGGGATCCAGATATATTCCGTCACATACTTAATTACTATCGCACTGGTCTGCTTCATTATCCAAAGAATGAATGTGTCTCAGCTTATGATGAAGAACTGGCGTACTTTGGCATTTTGCCTGACATAATGGGTGATTGTTGCTACGAGGAATATAGGGACAGGAAGAGGGATATAAGTGAACGTCTTATAGACGATAGGGAAGACGAAGCCAAAATTCTAGCGCCATGCAAAAATTTTAGAGAAAAGTTATATCGAATTTTTGGAAATCCACAATACTCAACTGCAGCTCTTGTTGTTTACTATGTTTGTGGATTTTTCATCGCTGTTTCAGTAACTGCAAATATAATTGAAACAATTTCTTGTGGATATGATCCCAACACTGGCAGACACCCTTCATGCGGCGAAAGGTACAGCAAAGGCTTCTTCTGCTTGGATACAGCGTGTGTGTTAATTTTTACAATTGAATACTTGGCACGCCTTTATGCTGCTCCGGATCGGCTCAAGTTCCTTCGATCGGTTATGGCTTTAATTGACGTCATTGCTATATTTCCTTACTATGTTGGGCTTGGACTGCCCGAAAACAAGAATCTTTCTGGGGCATTTGTGACTCTTCGCGTGTTTCGGGTTTTCCGGATCTTTAAGTTTTCACGACACAGCCAGGGACTTCGGATATTGGGCTATACATTAAAATCGTGCGCATCGGAACTTGGATTCCTGCTCTTCAGTCTCGCAATGGCTCTAATAATTTTTGCCACTGTAATTTACTACTTAGAAAAAACTGATGCCGACACCCGATTCACGAGTATTCCTGCTGCATTTTGGTACATAATTGTTACAATGACAACATTAGGGTAAGTACGAAAGTCCAGTTATAAAGCTATGACATTACCTCATTTGATTTAGGCGTCTGTTCGTGCACATTTAAAGTTTCCTATAAATATTGCAATGTAAGGCCCGGCGTTTCATTTTTAAAACCAACAATTTGTCATGGACTTACAAAGTCTAAGTCGATAATATATCCAGCAAATTCATTGACTTGTTCAAAGGCATAGTTTAAAAGTGCTTGAAATAGGTGTTTTCTAGACACTAAGATGGAAACACAAGATGTTCTGCCAACTGCATGCTCCACATCGTAAAGTAATTTTATTAAAACATACCAGTTAGCTAGGGAAGATTGGCAGATTTTAATTTACTTCTATACAAATTGACTGATAATTGTAATTGCGATATTTCGACTTGGCCCAATCTCAACTTTTGTTGAAATTTTCTCTTGGATTTTTTGGATCAAGATCAGCACGTTCGGTATCTTCTTTTGAATTTGTCAAATTGTTTTGGTAAATGTCCGCATTCGATGCAGTGTAAAGCTTATGTACTGCTGAGCCTCGTGCTTGTTCAAATCTGGACTGCGAATCTCCCCAGGCATCTAAATTTATTTTCCCTAACGTTCCCCTCGGCTCACCGGATGTTAAGACCGCCAATCACTATAGAGACTGGATTTTTGCTGATAAAAAATCTAACACAAACAAGATGATGCTGCCACGTTTTCGCTATGTGAGAATGCAAAAAAAGTATGCAATTGTATTATTCTTATTATGACAGTCTTTGGTTTTTCTCTCAATAAAACCGGAAATAATGGGTCGGCCGAATGAAAACTTGCATTTTTGTTAGTTGAATAATATCACATTTCTTGTACGCGAAAAGAACCACTTCTTGAAAAAAAAAAATTTTGTAGACAGCGCCTGTAATAGCGATTGACGATCTTCGAGAAACTGAGACATCGTTAAAACCACAACATCAACAGACATTTGGACTTTTAAACTCGGAAATCGGTTGTTTGTGAATAAAATCGGAATTTGCATATTCTCCGCACCAACTTAATTCTATTTAAATTGACCAATAATTGCAATTGCGATATTTTGACTTAGTGTAATCTCGACATTTGGTGGAATTCTCTCGTCTGATTAATTAATTACCGTGTTTTATTCTACGAAACGGATGAATGGCAATCACGATTAGGTTTAACCAAATATTCGTTGGTTGAAAAATGCTATGGAGACGAGGTATTACCAAGTCTTGTCTTTATTACATAAATATTTGAACCTAGACCGGATTTGAGAGAATAAGTGCTAGAGGGTAGCAAAATTTACGAAAAATATTGTGATTTAAAGTGATGAGTTTTAATTTTCGTGGAGCCACAGTCTATTTTGTTAGTTACTCGCGTGCAAGCAGGAGTATGCGCAGGTGCATGTTTCTAGTGACATGACATGCAGATTAGAATCTGCAAAAGGAGTCATTTTGCGACAGAAAAATTGTTTTTTTTTGTCGACGTGCACTGAACCACTTTGACTTAATAATTGAGTCGCTTGTCAGGAAGTGAGTCAAAAAGTAATGGGCGTTGGAGAGGAACTTGCTCGCAAACGGTGAAATTCCAGTTGTAATTGGAACCGAATTCGAGTGTTTAAGTGTAGTCAACAAAGAACACGGTTGGTTCTTGGTTTAGCCGTGTTCTGTGGTGCTTTTAATTTAATCAGCCTTTGCTTCCTTGATATTTAAATCGAAAATTTCGATAAAATCGATCGTTTGGATTGGTTATTATTTTCAACTGCCCGATTACTCCTGACTTACACTGCAGATGAAATTGCTGTAAGTTCCGTGTTTTTGTGAAACGCTTGCATTCTGATTTCAAGAACCTGTCCAAGGGTTTCTGTACGTAGTTTCCAAAATTTAAATTAGGGCTTAATTCACCATGTCAGTGATTGGTGGTTATCGATTGCGTGAACTGCATTCTACCAATGAAACCTCGTGACCTTGACTGCAGTAATTTTGCTTGATTTATCCAAGTTCAGTCTTAATCCTTATGAAGACGTGCGAAGTACATTTGCTAACAAATTTGAAAAGTCACTGCAATCCAGACCGCACAGCTTCATTGGTTGAATCCATTTCAAAAAATCGATGAACCTTTAATTGACGTAGCCAATCAAAAACCAAGAGCAGTGAGCATCTCTACGTTTAAACTAACCGCGTAATTTACTTTAAATTAAAAAATAATGAGGCTGAAAAATGGTGTTTTTCTCCTAGTAGTGGGCCTTCATTACATTCTAGTAAATTTGTGTTTGAATTTCTGGAGTTCAGCAATCTTAATTTGAAACCCTTTTCAGCTGGATACGTAGAGCGGTCGTCCCTACATAAAGCAAAGCCATTTACGGCGTAGAAATAAATATTTTTTGCCCGGGCTGTTATCTTGAAACACAAATCTGCGTTCGCCGCAGGTTTGTTAGTCACCATTTTCGTAGGAAGCCAGGCTGCGATATCAGAATTTGCCAAAGCAGAACGGGATTATCGTTGTTCCAGCACCCAGATAGTAACAGTCTGAACTATCCAACGCATAAACTACTGCGGATTGAAATCGATTTTGGTAAATTCGTTGAGTTGCTGTATAATGAGAAGTGCTTGTCTCGTAGGAGTTGGACAAACGTAATGAGTTTGGCTGAAATTTAACCAAACCGTGGTCTTTTCAACAGTCTGTTTATGCTAACTGTGGTAATTAACCTTTGAGTTTTCCTTTAAAACCGACATTTTACATGTACTTGTGTTAATTAAGATGGAGAAGTCTCTCTGTGTCGCTGAAATTGGATTTAAGTAGACATTCAGAAACTTGGGAAGACATTTTGGCACCATGTCAAGTTGCATCACCGGTAAAATGTTAAAGACCATTTTGTAGGTTTGTTTTTAAAAAAATGTTTTAATTTTATGCAATTTTCAAAACGACAGAAATGTTTACTTTAAATCAGTCACGGATTTAAGCCTCTGGCACTATTCAAAAAGCGCGTGGTCTAATTGGATAATTTCCAAATGTTTAATCGATTTATCGATATTTTAGTATTTCAAAAAATTGATGTGCAGGTGAGAAATTTGTACTCGATGTCGCAAGTAGCCTATTCGTTAATGCAGAAGCGTACTTGTTGGGAAAGAAGGGATGGATAATACTTGCAGCCATACTGCTCTGCATTTTAATCCAAAAATTTGACAGAAATGGTGTGTGCATGAAGCGCCATAAAATTGGTTTTGTTCTACTCGAAAGTAATATTTTTCGGTCAGTTATAAACTACGCTAAAACGCCTGTTGCCATGGACTTCCGCTATAAAACAGTTGATAGCAATGGCCTTTAGACTGACAAATGCGCAATTCTATCGGAAAAGGAGGCTGTTGGCGCAATTTCATTGGTTTGTTTAAACGCAGCAGCCAAGTTGGACTCTGATTTAAAAATTACGACAGGGGGTTTCGTGTTGCAGATCTGCTTTAAGGGGAATGCTCTGGTTTCGCTTTGCCCAAAGGCGATTAAATTCAGCTCAACGTTCACGAATCTGAGTGTTTATGAAAACAGTTTTTACTCTGGCGACGATGATTTTAATGCTTGCTTGGTCGGTGTGGTTTCGAGAGACCGGTTCTTTGCAAACTGTCGCAGAAACGCTCAGTCTAGACGCCTCGACTTTCTGTGTTTATCGTCGTTTAAGTTGACGACTGCTTTCACACGTTTATGACTACCTCTGATTGGCTTGCAAAGCAGAAAAATACCGCTTTTAAATTGTGGAGATGAGAAAAAAAGCATGATGGAACAATTTAGCCGCAACATTTAACAAAAAAATAGGACAAAGAACATCGACTTTGACTCACATATGCTTGACAGTTTCATTTATTCGGGAAAAAACGCAAGAAGCATTTAAATTTTGTTTTGTTATACTTATAAATTTAAACAAAAAGTCTTTTTTCGTTACACTCAGGTCAACATTATGCCGTCCAGAGAGACATGTCTTCCACTTTCCACATCAAATTTAACAATTTTTAATACAAAAATCCGTGTTGATTACACAAAAAAGAAGCATTCGTGGTAATGACTTGTTTTTGACATAACTTGCTTTGTGGATCAACTGGTGGTTTTCATATATAGCAGCAGCGTGAGAGGACCTGATGCTGTGTAGTATGTCTGGAAATGTCGTTTAAAAGAGTGTGGATTGCTGGGTGAAAATTTTAGATCGTGTCGACCGAACATCCCACGCGACATCATTGAGCAAATTTTAACGAGTGCTCATTGGTCACTTGTTCTCAAATTGGCTAATTTGATTTCCGTTCACCAGCTCAAGGTCACGCATTGCATTCGTTTAAATTATTGACACACATTTGCACACAAAACAAAATCAACTTGTCGCCAATTGGGAGATTGTATTTGGCATTCCTTATTGCGTGTGTTGAAAACCAGAGGCGGTTTGTTTGAATATGCTGGTGCTAGGGGTTTTCGCGAAAACAAAATAGGCGCACGCAAGATGAATAAATGGGAGAATGCCGGTGCGGTTGCCAATGCTCCCTCAGGCTTTTCTCCTCTGAGGAAGATAACCTAATTTTTTGCAACTGAAAATGAAGCTTATTCCGAAATTCACCAATGACAAAGCGCGAACCGCATTCTGCATTTAAAGTACGACCACAGCGCCACTTCCATTTCATTGCGTCCTAGCAAGTCGCTTTCTTGGCAAATTCTTTCAAGAAAATAGTTACAATTGGGTGGTAATTGTGACATCTCAATGCAGTTATTCACATTTTGTCACCGTTCCTTTTTTATTTCAACTATTCTCGACGTGATAGAGTCAAATTATTCAAAATATATGAAGTACTGTAGAAACGGAGCAAATTATCTTTAAAATTTAATCCAGCATCACTTCGGATTCATCAAATAGGCAAGGAAATCAATAATTTCGCCGTAAGTGTCCTGCTCTAAGTATAGAAAATCAATAGTTTCCCAATCAAAAAGAGAAGCCTCCATAGAGTGCGAATGCAATCAATTTAAACGGATATTTGTTCAT